CCAAAGGAAGTATTTCTTGAAGCCTTCCTCAGGCAGATGAAGGAAACAAGCACCTTAGGACCCCTCTGAGAACGGTATTGGTTTGCTAAGGGGTTGCCTGGCTAATTACCACAGTGATAGCACTCCCTGGCAAGGCCTTGGGTTCTACAGGAAAAGCGTCCTCAGGTAATGGCAATCAGTGTAGTTTAATATCTGCAGGGTCTCACTGTTTGGCTCTGGCTCTTCTGGAACTCACTATGTAGGCTGGTGACCTGCCTCCAACTGCCGGGAGGGATTAAAGGTGTGCACAAACATACTACTAAATGTCTCAGGCCCACGCCCCCACAGCTGGTAAGAGTTTGCGTCTTTGGTTCTTGAATCTAGAGAAAAGGGTCCTTTTTTCTTTGGTTCCTTTGTTTGTCTTCAGGAAATCCACCCTGGCCCTGGGGCCTGGAATTTCTGATTCTCCTGTCTCAGCCTCTGGAAGAACGGATCTAAAGTTGGTACTTGAATTTATGACCATCCTGCTTTCCCTCATTCAAGGATTACACACCAGGCTAAAGGAACACTTGGCGTGGTGTGGTTGCATCTTCTTGTAATTCTAGATATTTTTTTAAATATTTATTTGTTTATTAAGTATACAGTATTCTTCCTGCAGGCCTCACCACAGATGGTTGTGAGCCACCATGTGGTTGCTGGGAATTGAACTCAAGACCTTTGGAAGAGCAGGCAATGCCCTTAACCGCTGAGCCATTTCTCCAGCCCTAGATATTTTTTTTTTTTTGAGCTTGTCCTGGAGCTCTGTAGAACAGGTTGGCCTTGAACTCAACAGAGTATGGCAATTTTCAAAAAGATGTATCTGTTTCATACATCTGTATGTATGCATTCATTTTCATGTCATTCCTATTTGAATTTTAATTGTCAAGTTATAGCTGGATATATTTTTTCTTGAACATTACATATAGTTAACACCAGGTTGTAAATAATGTGCAGTTTTAACATCATTGTCCCAACAAGGCTTTGTTCAAAGCCCTCCATCAGCACTAATGTCTCCGCTCTTCCCGCAATTAAGTGGACCAGTAAATGAGTAGTGTTTTTGATGTTTCAACATGTTCTCTCTAGCCCACACAGCCTAGGCTGTCCCTCAAACTTGGCAATCATCGTGGCCTTCAACTCCCAGGTAGTGAGATTATAGGTATTAGCCAGGATACCTGATGTACCAGTCAGTGTTCTTGGTTTTGAGGTAGGGTCTCGGGTAGCCTAGGTGGACTTCTTTACCTTGCCTCCTGGTTGCTGACATTATAGGCACGCTCAGTCTTTTTCTTAAGCTCCTCCCACCAGTTGGAAGGATGGGACAGATGGAAAATCAAACAGCTTGAGGTATATGGCAAGACTCAAAAAGAAACCACACAGGACTAGAAAGATGTGGTTAAGAGCACTTCCTGCTGCATTCTCGGTATGCATAATGTCAGCCGGCTCACAACCACCTTTAATTCCAGTTCGTGGGGAGCCAATGCCATCTGAATTCGGAGGGGAACACAAGTGTTCACCACCACACCTTACATCTGAATCAGGTTTTTAAATTGCATTTTATGCCATTTACCTTCTGGTTTGTGTTTGTGGGGATGGGGGCGGGGCGTTGTTAGACTCAGAGCTGCCTGCCTCTGCCTTCAGAGGGCTGAGGATAAAACATGTGCCGGCATGTCTGGCTGTTGCCTTCAGTCTGTGCCACACGTGTGGCTTGGTGCCTTTAGGGGTCTAAAGGTGATGTCTCTTGGACTGTAGTTACAGACGGCTTTCTGCCATCTCTCCAGCCCTGGGTGTCATATTTTAAAAAATACTTCTTGACGTCTTTCTCATTGAAGTGGGGCCCTGACTGTTTCTGCCATTCACTATGGTACTTTGTTCCTGAGTAGTGTTGTATTGTTAAGTATACTATGTTGTGTTTGTCCATGTCTCTCTGTTTGACACTTGAATTGTCTCTTTCCCTACCATGAAGAAACCCATTGTGAAGATTTTTATTCACGGTTTTCAGTGCAGAGGGACCGAGCGAGTGCTCTCATTTTCCTGGAGAAATGGCAGTGGAGTTGCTGAGTCATGGCACTTACGACTGTCCCCCAGCAGTAATGAATGAGTTTCAGTTGCTGGGCAGCCTAAGTGGGACCTGGCAGATTTTGCCTTTGGTCATTCTAAGCACAGCTACAGCATTTTAATTCTTAACCCAGTGTGTGCTTGGATTTCTTGAGGCAGGGTTTTCTGTAACACTCCTGGCCAGATAACAGGCAGACCTCAACAACCTGAGTCTCTTAGCTATTTTTTGGTTTTTTGAGACAGGGTTTCTCTGTAGCCTGTCCTGGAGCTAGCTCTTGTAGACCAGGCTGGTCTCGAACTCACAGAGATCCGCCTGCCTCTGCCTCGCGAGTGCTGGGATTAAAGGCGTGCGCCACCACCGCCCGGCACTTTGCTCTTTGCTCTTTTTTGAGATGAACTCTTGATGTTTGGTTGGTCTGGGAATCTTCATAGACTTGGTGGTCTCTTACTGGAGGCTGCCTTTATCTCTGTCTCCGAAGTGTTCTGGCTACAGGTGCATGCCACCATGCTGGGATTAGGCTAAAGAAAGGACTTCAAATCTGGCACCTCCTTTAGGCTGTGGATCTCTGAGTTCAAGGTCAACCGGGTAAGCAAAGCCTTTTCCTGGACAGTCAGAGGGAGGGGATTTATTTCACCCACAAGCCCTGAGTAACCTTGCTTGCACCAGCCTCCTGCTTCTGCTTCTCCTTCAAGAAAGTCAGGATTAGAGATGAGAGCTGTCACCTGCCTCACAGTTGTGTGTAGACTACCACCTTAAGACTTTCTGTTCTGGAATTTGCTTAGCTATTTTAAAATTCTGGGGTCTGTTTGTAGCTTGTAAACGAGTGGGGTTTCGCATGTTTCTCCCTTGGAATCCCTTCCAATAAGGGGACTTTTTTTCTCAGCTTAAATTTTTCTTTTTGTATATTTTCGGTTTTTTTTTAATTTTCTTTATTTTACATTCCAACCACTGTTCTCCCTCCCATCCTTCCTCCTGCCCCCCCCCCATTCTTAAATTTTTCTTAAAGTAAGCTGCCTTGAGTTGCCCTCCTCCTGGTACAGACTCCTGGGGTTGGCTAAGAAGGACAGTTGAATTTGTTTGAGAAAAGGTGTGGCCTATATGGGGTTTCATTGGCCTGAAGTTCACTATGTAGCAGAGCGCTCCTCACCCTCCTCATTGCATTTATACGCGGGAACCACCACACTAGACCTTAGGATTTTTATTTTTTGGAAAGAAACCAGAGAAGGCGGATAATTTTCCTTAAGCGTCTATCATATATCTTCTCTGAAATTAGTTACCCTCCCCATGGTCTGCACTGAAAGTTCCAGCTCTTGAGGTAGGAACAAGATCAGTGATCTTCATCGCTGGTGGACAAGGGTCTAGAACAAGGCTGGCCTCTGAGAAAGGCACCTGCTTCTGCCTCTCTTACTAATATTCAAGGTCTGGGACACCATACCTGACTGTGCTGTTAATTTTTGATGGAACTAGGAAATAGTCCCAAGGTCTCTGCTCCACCACATTTGTCATTAGATTGCACAGGATGGCGTAGTTTGAGAGAGAGCTAGCCTTTCTCTGCCATAGTGGTGCTCACAGTTGGAATATATGTAGTCTTCTCAGCTGGCTCCCTGCTAACTTACTCAGCCTCGAACCTTGCCCAATAATGCTTCTGCATGTGACAGTCTTCTGCGCAGGCACACAGTAATAAAGGTGGGTCAGACCCGAGGCTTCCCACGGTTTTGGTTCAAGGTGACTTTAGAGATTTGCAGATGCACTGGACGTGTTGAACACCTGAAGTACAGGGGTATGCACCAACACCCCCCTGGATATCTAGTGTGGTTGAGTATGAGTGTGTGTGTGTGTGTGTGTGTGTGTGACTTTGTTGTACACACAGAAGAGGGCACTAGATCTCCCAGGACTGGAGTTGTAGGCAGTTGGAAGCTTTCAGGTGTGGATGTCAGGAACCAAACCCAGATCAGCAATGAAATCAGCACTGAGCCAGCCCCTGGTGGTGCATACGTGGGTTATTTAATTTTTTTTAAGTGCTTGCTGTTTTGAGATGTGGGTCCTGGAAGAGCATAAGATGTGAGCAACTATACCAGGGTGATAATCATTTCAGGGCAGGTAATCCAGTGCCTGAGGGTTGAGGAAGAAATGCCAGGCAATCGCTCCCTAGGGTATAGTGCATGAAGTCGTGACTCATTTCTATCCTTTCATACTGTGTGTGTGTGTATTAGAAGGTAGGTGAGAGAGAAAGAACTTATGCATATGATAACAGTTCCATCTTTCAACAGATTTTGACAAATTGTTCATTTTGTGATGGGGTCACAGGGAAAATTCAATATGCTGTGCACTTCAGCTTTGCATCACAAATGTCCCCTCCCCCAATCCTTTGTGATGCTGGGTATTGAATTCAACCACACATCTGAACAGGTGTATTACTACTTTTGATTGGCTGAGTCACTCTATATAGCCCTGGCCAGCCTACAGGTCATAGACCAAATACAGGTTTACATGCCTCTGCCTCCTTGGAGTTACAGGAGGGAACTGTGGTTTACATGGGACAGGGATGGGTGTGTGGAGGAAGATTAGGACGTAACGCATGCTACTGAAGCCATGTCTCTAAGCTCATTTTAAGTGTCCTCACCTGTAGTCCCTGTACTGACACCGAGCCTGCTTGGGTGCATAGCAAGAGTCTGTGAACCAAGGACTGAAGCAGTTGTCTTTTTTTTTTTTTTTTTTTTTTTTGGTTTTTCGAGACAGGGTTTCTCTGTGGTTTTGGAGCCTGTCCTGGAACTAGCTCTTGTAGACCAGGCTGGTCTCGAACTCACAGAGATCCGCCTGCCTCTGCCTCCCGAGTGCTGGGATTAAAGGCGTGCGCCACCACCGCCCGGCTGAAGCAGTTGTCTTATTTCAGCAGCTAATGGGAGAAATTTCTGTGCTTACTTTACAGAGAGACAATAACAACAAACCAGTAAATGGCCCCAAATCAGAGTCCATGGAAGACAGTCAATGTGGCCATGGGGAAGAGCAGAGATTGGATTTGAATTCACAGCCCCTTGAAAATGTAGGGAAGAATGCAGAGAGCATGACAGGAATCGAGGTGGAGAATTGGACACCAAACAAGAAATCAAGCCGAGAGAGTCAAGTCAAGGGAGACCTCGATACAAATTTAACTGAGGTTGGAAAGCCCCAGTCCTCTGAAGATGACAAGCAACAAAGCCAGCCTTCCCCGATGTTTCCTCAGGCCATGAGAAACGGCATGAAAAATGTGTACTGTTTACCTACGGACACAAACCTTCCAATCAACAAATTGGATCTTGAAGAAATTAGCAAGGTGCTAGGAAATAGTTCCTCTAAATTGCTGCCTGGCCCCTCCAACGGCAAGGATGCCATGAACTCTGTCGCTTCCGATAGGAGCTGTGATCATCTCAAGGGGTCGAGCGACACTTTGTTCTTCCAGAAGCCTGGCTTGAACTGCCAATCTGCTGCAGCCTCCACCATCCCTAAGGATCGTCCTAAGACACACAGCTCTGGCTGTCAACCCCAAAGTCCCGAGAAGATACCTAGTAAAGACCCTAAAGATGACTCTCCAGTTCAGCCAAGCCTTCTATCACTAATGAAAGACAGGAGACTCACCCTGGAACAAGTGGTAGCCATTGAAGCCCTTACGCAGCTTTCAGAAGCTCCATCCGAGAATTCCTCTCCATCAAAGCCAGAGAAGGGTGAAGAAACAGATCAGAGGACAGCTAGTCTGCTTGACAATTGCAAGGCTATCCTTAATTCTGTGAGAGAAGACCTCCAAGACACAAACATAAAGTGTCTTCAGCACCAGAACACAGAGTTCAAGTTGCCGGATAGTTCAGCTACTAACCAAACACTTGAAGATTCAGATTCACTTACAGCTGGAGACAAACCTACCCTTGATAGTTCTAAGAATTTATATCCATTGCCAGTAGAAAGTCATAATCCAGAAGACTGCAGTCAGGCACTAAACGGCGACCAAAAGTTGAATTCCCAGTATGAGCCACCATGCCAGGATGTGCCCTACAGTCAAATTGAAGAAGATGTTGCAGCCCAATTAACCCAGCTTGCATCTACAATTAATTACAATCACATAAACCCAGACGTCAAGAATGCCGGAAGTACACCAGGGAGCCTTGCTGCAAAGAATACACAGCAGAAACCTAGTCAGGAGAAAGGCATGGCACAAGAGAAACCAGCATCGAGTATACAAAACAAACCTAGTGTACCACCAGCAAAGCCAAAGAACAAGACCCAGAAGAAAGCAAAACAAACCCCCAAAACAGACAAGCGGAAAAAGGAACCTCCTCTCCCTAGCTCTCAAGAAAACGATCAGAAGCAAGAGCAACTTGCAACTCAATATAGTAATATGCATGACATTTGGATATCATCCAAATTTCAAAGATTTGGCCAGTCTGGTCCACACAGTGTTCCTAACATGTTTGGAAACCCTGCTATCTTTTCCCAGAAATTGAAACCAATAGCTCAGAATAACATACCCTTACAACCCTATATGACATTTCTTCCTCTCCGTCAGATAAAATTTACAAGACAATCTGAACTGGCAAAGGAGAATGTTAAAGTCGAGCCACCAGATGCTCTACCAACATGCCAAATCAAGACAGAATCCAGCGGGCAGGCAATTGCAGAGCCGGTAGATAATTCTCAGGTACAGTCCTCAGTGAATAGCAGTGAGAAAGCTCACCCTCTGCCTCAGCCCTCCCCTCAGTCCAACCAGTGTGCTAACATGATGCCTGGTGCTGCTCAAACACAGTTACAACTAGGCGCTCAAGAGAACCTGGTGCATCCGATACCACCGACGTTGCCTGGTACCTCTCCTGAGTCACCCTTGCCAGACCCAGCATCCATCCTCAGGAAAGGGAACGTGTCGGGTTCCAACGGAATGGCAGGTGTGAATGCGAAGCCAGAAGCGCAAGCACCAAGCCATGGACCACGGAGTGACTCCGCCACACACAGTGTCCAGATGGAGTTTTTTGAGCACATCAAGAAATACCTTAGAGACCCTGCAAAATTCTTGCAACCCGAAGTGAATGAGACAGAAGAGCCAACCTGTGACTGTAATGGTACGTGATTGTTGCGGTGTGCCTGTTTGCTTTCTAATTCATCTTTGTAGTCTAGCTAAGATGCTCTAAGGAATTCTGTTCCTGTTTTTCTATTCTCCTTAGAGAAAAGGAAGTTTCAGCTGGGAAAAGTAAACTTTTTCAAGTGAAGAATAGGATTAAAGTAGTTCATTTTCATGACAAAGAATGGATTTCAATGTTAAAATATTTGTTTAAATATATAGACTTCAACCTACAAGTATTTAATTTGATAGCTTTTTCTTGTGAAAAACCGAATGTGCATATATAGAATGTAAAAACAAGTATGGTTGTAGATAGCCAAAAATATCTCAGTACTTGCACACGCCTGGACCCCAAGTTCTGTGCCCAGAAGCCATGATGGATGTTTTCTGGTTGGTGCTGAGGAAACTGGGTTTTACTAGGAAGCAATTTTTTTTTGGGGGGGGGAGGGGGTTTGAGATAGGGCTTCTCTGTTCTATTAGACCAGGCTGGCCTCAAACTCAGATCTGCCAGCCTCTGCCTCCTGAGTGCTGGGATTAAGGGCCATCACTTCCTGCCAGACAAGCCTGGGCTGTCTAATAGGAACTTGTCACAACAAAACAAAACAAATAGGGCTAAAGAAATGAGTCAGCCAGGCAGGCAGTGGTTCCCACACCATCTGTGACTCCACCTTCAGGAGATCCTAACTGCATCCTCTACTGGGCACTGCAGTCACATGCACAGACAAAGATTTTAAAAGCTGGAAGAGCTGGAAGAAATGTTTCAGAAGCGTTCTCGCAGGCAACCTAGGTTCAGTCCCCAGCGCAGATGCGGTGGGTCACACATCCACAACTGTTTCCAGGAAACCCAGTGCCCTCTTCTGACCTCCTGGAGTAATTGCCATACACTTGGTACACACACATGCATATATTCATACAGGGAAAACATTCACATACATAACATTAAAGGGAAAAAGAAAGCTTTTCCTCAGGCTTAGGAGGATACACAAGTCTCTGCTTCCTGGATGTTGCAATTCAAGGTGTTTGCTGGCACAGATGGCTTTTTCTTTCTCTGAAACAAAATGGCCCTGTTTCTAAGACATCAGTCTCCACTGGTGTCACAATTACAGATCATTCTTTCTTGAAAAATTGTCTCATGTAGGAGACATGAAAGTTTACCTTGTACCCTGACTAGTCACTGTCCATCCAGGAGGCAGTGGTGGGAGAATCTTCTTTGGCTTCTTAGCAAGTTCAAGGCAAGCACCGGACTGCATAGAGAGCGATAGGTGTGAATCAGGACTGTTTGAGCTAGTCCACCTGCCGTGAAGTACTTTTCTGGGTTTCCTGAGTTCGTGGTTATCGGGTTTGGCAGGCCTGACAGCACACTGATGGAGATTGAGTGCCGTGACTTTTTTTTTTAAGTCAGTGATTCTCAACCCCTTGGCAGGGTGACTGACCTTTGGCCACCATAAATATCAGCTTTGCATCGCTCACCCCAGCCTCATGTACATGAGAAACTATAGAGGCCTCAGCATTGGGAAGGTTGAGAGGCACTGTTCTAAGTGATGCCGTGTTCTTAAACACAGTCATCTCAGTAGCATCATTGTAAGTGAGCATCTTGTTTTCAGGATAGTATTAAAACACTCAAAAAGTAGGCCATTTTCAGATCGGTGCTTGTCCCACTTAGCAGTTTTGACATGTTAGACCTAAGCAGGGACTGTCCTGACATGCTTGATTTCATGTTATTCCGGGTCCCTTTATATTAGATGGAAGCCACACTGCATACACACACCCCAATCATTGCCAAATGTCGCTATGGGCAGAAACATCCCTGTTCTTCCAGAGGACCCAGGTTCAATTCCCAGCACCCACATGGAGGCTCAGAACCTTCATCCTTCACAGGCTTTTGCATGCATGTGTACAAACCCACATGCAAACATGGAGATCCACCTGCCTCTGCCCCGCCTACCCTTCCAGGATAAAGGAGGTGGTGAAGCCAGTATGGGTGTATCTTATTTTCTGCCTTACTTTGTTTTGTTATTTTTTATTTCAAATATTCCCTTGCTTGCTATACTGGTTCCCACCCCCTCATTACCAGCAAATCTACCTACAGCATTCTATGTGCCAAGGAAGCCCCCCACATCTGAGATACATCCTCACACCAGAATAATGACTTGTAAAAATACCATGGCTAGAAATACAGTTGTCAGTTTTTGGATATAACTAACTGATAATTGTAACAAGTAACTTTCTTGTACACCTGCATTATAAATACCGAAGCTAACTTTTCAGATTTACTAGCAGTGACTATAGATAACTACGTTCCAAAGTGGACTAGGGAGCCAGGTGTAATTGGCAGTAGAGTTCAAGGTCATCTTTGGCTGCTTAGTAGGTTGAGGCTCTACTGAGACCCCCATCTTAATAATTGCTAATCGTTAATAAAAAGGTAGACGAGAGAATAAATACAATCAACCCCCTTAATTTTTTTGGTCTTCTCTCCTTTGACGCCTAGAAGAACTAGGAGCCAGAAGGTGGCAACAGGGGCAAGTCCAATGCCAGGACCTGTTGTCTTATTCTTTCAAAAAGAAAAAAGCCCCTGTGCTTTTTTTTTTTTTTTTTGCGAAACTGGGTCTAATAATCTTATTCCTTCCACAGATGGAGGTACACAAAAAGACAAAGGCCCATATTATACACACCTGGGGGCAGGACCAAGTGTTGCTGCTGTCAGGGAGCTCATGGAGACTAGGTGAGGAGATGTTTCCCTGCTAAAACCATTCTTCCCTGCGAACCTGGGTCAGTGCAAGGGACCCTGAGGCGAATGAAATCCTTCCTCCCAGGAGCTCGGGGCCCTGGAGACATGCCCCCACACTACAAAGCCTATTATTACTGTACAATGGTAGAAATAGGTCAGATGACCACCACCAATGCTGTAACCCTAACCTCCCGACGCTTGTGTTGAGGTCAGGCTCTCCTTAGAACTGGGTAACAACCTGCCACACAGCAGCTGGCTTTTAGCTGATGTAATTGACAACGGTATCATTTGAACTCATGTTCATTTGTATCTGCAGACTGTCATTATTAATTAGTCCCACCTCCTCTTTCTTCTGTACTCAGGTATGGCCATAAAGGAAAGGCAGTACGAATTGAGAAGGTAGAGTACACGGGGAAAGAAGGCAAGAGCTCGCAGGGCTGCCCAGTCGCCAAGTGTGTGAGTACCGCTAGTATGCTTTTCCTGGTTCTTGGGAGAATTGTTTTTTCACATAAGGTTTTGTTTTGGCCAAAGTGGAGACTACTAGAAAACTAGCATCCCTAATGGTCATGCACATCAAAGGGCACCGATAAATTCCACCTAACACTACATGCCAATAACCCAATAGGAGACTAAGAGAAAGGTTTAGGAGGGAGGGATCGTGGAGTAGAACTACGCGTCAACTTTTCCCCTGGTCGATGTTGGAGCTCGGGAGTTCTTCCAGAGGACCCAGGTCCAATGCCCAGAGCCACACACAATCCACAATTGTCATTACTGTGTTCGTGTGTGGCAGAGAAACATGTAGGCAAAACACTCATTGGCATAGTTTTTGTTTTATGTGTTTTTGTAGCTCAGACTACATGTGTGACCCTCCTGTCTTAGCCTTCCAGATACCATAGTTATAAACATGGCCACTATGAACAAATATAAGAAATGGGTTTTAGTGTGTGTGCACATGTATACTGCAGAGGAAATTCCCATGGATTCTAGGGATCCACTGACTTACCCATCTCCCTGACTCTTACTGATGAGTGCCTTCACTAAAATTGAACTTTCTTAGAAACTGTAACTTTATCTGCTATGAATGGGAATGGTTGAACCTTCCTGACTCAACATCTTCTCAAAATTTACACAAAGACATGTATGTAACCATCTAGCAGAAGTCAAAAGATGGAGAACCAATGGCCATCAACAAAGGAATGCTGCAACAAAATTATTAGGCTCTCCCAAACTCATACAGATGCCCGAGGTTCTGACAGAAGCACCCATCACCACCAAGCACAGAGAATTTTAAATTTACCTATTTGTATTTAGTTGTGGTTGAATATTGAATCCAAGATTTGGCACACACAAGACATGGTATGAGTCTCCACCCCACGCATGTTTATTGTGTTGTAAGAATGTAATTACCAGGAGCTGATTTTTCAGTGAACCCATTTGTGCAAAAAGCCCAAATTCAAATTAAATCCATCTTTATATATGAATGTACAAGTTATTCCTAGAATAATACTGTCAAGGGTTTTGTGAGCTAGGTCCCTCTCCACCCTAGATACCATCCTCACTTCTAAGAGAAGGGGAGAGAGGAAAGTGTGTGGACCGGGCTTTGACCCTGAAGGCTCAGTTCCAAGTTTTAATGTTTTCTATCTTTCATTTTAGCCTAAAGTTGGAATTTGTGGGGGTGGAATGGTGTATATTGGAGGGTGTTTTATTCAAACCCAAGGCCTTTTGCATGCCAAGCAAGCATTCTACAGTTGTGATAGGCCTCCAAATATTTTAATAGCTTTTCTGATTAGACCAGGAGTTCTTGGATTAAATGTGTATGCCACATTTAACTATGTTGGTTCTCGGGAATCTAACTCAGGTCACTGAGGTTGAACCTTCATGCTGGCCCTACCTCCGGGAGCACGCACAAGCGCGCACACCACACACGTGTGCACACGGTTAGAAGTTATATAATGTCTATTTAAAATACACATGCCATACATATCCATCATTAGTGTGTATTATCAATGATGTTGGCGTACATTTTTCGTGACACATGTTTGTTGGTCCATGATTTTTTTTTTTTTTTTTTTTTAACCATGGGAGTTTCATGCCTCACACTGTCTAGTGCTTGCTGGCCTGGGGTGCCTGCAAGCACTATGAAGTACAGACTAGCTTAGCTGGTCCTGTGAATCCCACCTCATGAACACAGCTAAATGGTAGCATTCATTGGAAAGACTATTAATGTTCTTTGTTTGAGACAGGGTCTCATTCATTGGCTATAAATTAGATGTTTAGCCAGGTATCCTCACAAAGTTAGGCTCTTGCCCCCACCCCAGGAATGCTGGGTTTGCAGGCACCCTTCCTTCACTTGTGCTGGGTGTATGTGGTGTTTGGGGCTGCAAGCCAGGCAAGCATTCCATCAGTTGGAGCTATATCCCAGCCAAAAAGTCTACTGTTTACATAGCAGGTCGTGTTCTCCGTAGGTAATTTAATTGCTCTATTAACATGGTAGAAATAGGATTTTGTTTGGGATTGCATGAAATCCAGACAAGTGTTCCTCTGCCATGGCAGCTCCATTTCTTGGATCTTCAGCAGTCAGCCAACCAAGGCATTTGAGGGCAGCCCCAGTGACGATGGAGGGCTCTGTCTCAGCAATACGCAAGAACTCTGTTTCCAGGGCAAAGAGTTGATTATGTTTCCAGGGTGCAAAGAGATGCCTCAGTTAAGAGTATTTCCTGCTCTTACAGGGGTCCCAAGTTCAGTTCCCAGCAGGCACATGGTCTCCCTTGACTACACCCTTTTGACACCCCCAGGCACCAAGCTCCTCACATGCCTCATATACATAAATCACAGGTATACACTATACAAATTTTTTTTTTTTTTTTGTTTTTTCGAGACAGGGTTTCTCTGTGGTTTTGGAGCCTGTCCTGGAACTAGCTCTTGTAGACCAGGCTGGTCTCGAACTCACAGAAATCCGCCTGCCTCTGCCTCCCGAGTGCTGGGATTAAAGGCGTGCGCCACCACCGCCCGGCCCACTATACAAATTTTTATGGTGATTCCTAGGCTATATGAAGCTCATATCAAAAATGGTAGGAAAACCGTTAACAGTTTCTGTCCTGCCCGGTTCCAAAGAAACACACAGGCCTACATCAATTATAAACTGGTTGGCCTATTAGCTCAGCCTTCTTATTAAGTAACACTTACAACCCAAATTAACCCACAATTCTTGTCTGTATTAGCCACATGGCATTCTCATGTCTGGCTGGTGACACTCTGCCTTTCCTCTTCCCAGAATTCTCCTATTCTGGTTGCCCCACCTATACTTCTTGCATGTCTACTGGCCAATCAGCATCTTATTAAACCTATACAAGTGACAAATCTTTACAGGGTACGAGATCATTCTCCCACAGTAGAAAACCACTCTGACCTGCGAATGTATGGTGTAGAATGACTCCATTCTGCTTTCCAGATACTTAGAAGATCCGGTTCTGAAGAGAAGATTCTTTGTTTGGCCCGGGTGCGACCCGGTCACTTCTGCGCGACGACGGTGATGGTCGTGGTTATCATGATCTGGGAAGCCATCCCTCGCCCGATGGCCGACTATCTGTATGAGGAGCTCACAATAAACTTGAGGTCCTACAGCGGGCATCCCACTGACCGCAGATGTACCCTCAACGAAAAGTAATGAGGCTTTGACACTCCTATCTCTATTAAGTAGCAACTGTCATGAGAGTAGTGGGGGCTTTTAAACAGCCTTTCCGGGTGTGGCTGTACACACTTTATATACCTCGAGGCTTCTGGACCTCCACGGGGTGAAGAGCAGCTAAGACTGCACAGTGAGACCTTCTTCTGTAAAAAAAAAAAAAATTGCTTTAGAATTTATGAGGCTGGGGGACTAGTTTTTGAGCCTCAGCCTTTTTTATTCATCTCGATGTGTACATACCATCCAAAACACTGAGAATATTAATTTCCTTATTGTATCTTACCCAACCCACTGTATAGTGAGGAAATGGCCTTCAATGGAACATTCTTCACCAGAACACGACGCTTCTTCCCAATAAATTTAATGTAGAAATCCCATCAGTGGAGTTCTGCTCTGCCTACTAGTATTTGTGGTCTCCCCTGGCTGATCTGTGTGGGACTCTGGCTGTATCGTGAGATCTGTGCATGGCCTGCCCTGGGCTATGATTCTGAGTAAATTTTCTAAAAGATTACTTTTCCCTTTTCAAGACAGATCCTTAATAGATAGTATAGATGCTGTGCTCACAATTCTCCTGCCTCTTTTTAGTGTGCACATTCCAGATGGGGACGGGGCATTAGATCCCACTATAGATGGCTGTGAGCCACCATGTGGTTGTTGGGAATTGAACTCAGAATCTCTAGAAGAGGATTCAGTGCTCTTAACCACTGAGCCTTCTCACCACCCTATAATCACCAGCATATAACCATTATGTGCTGTCCATGTTTGTTTCCCAGTGGTAGATTTAAACTGAACATATAAGCCAGACAGTGGTGGCGACCCCTTTAATCCCAGCACTCGGGAGGCAGAGGCTAGCCTGGTCTACAAGAGCTAGTTCCAAGACAGTCAGGGCTACACAGAGAAACCCTGTGTCAAAAAAAAAAAATAACTGAATGTAAAATTGTCTACCAAGTTTATATTCCTTATGTTGCTAATTTGAGCCTTTGGACCCCACATCCATCCTGTCGTTCCTTTTCTAAGTTCTTGAACCTTGTGCCCAGGTCATGTCTGAAGAGCGTTTAGAGGCATGGTTCATTGTATAGCTAACATCACAGTTGTCTTATATAGTCATTGTTTTGCCTTTCACATCTATAATTTTTTTTTTGTTTTTTTTGTAACCATTCTTGCTGTTCTGGAACTAGCTCTTTTAGACCAGGCTGGCTTTGAACTCACAGAGATCCACCACTGCCTGCCCACACCTAAATTTGATAGCATCTTAAATTCAGAGCTGAGGAGTATCTCTTGCCCAGTATCACAGAAGATAAGGAAGTAAATCAATAAAATTCAGATGTATAGAGGTTGCCTGCCCTCTGCTCACCATAACTCTAGTCCTCTGTTACCTTTTTCTTGGTTTTCGAGACTGAGTTTCTATGTGAAACAGGCCTGGCTGTCCTGCAACACACTCTGTAGACCAGGATGGCCTTGCACTCAGGTTAAAGGCGTGTGCCACCACTGCTCAGCTAACTTTCTATTTTTTTTTTTAAATATTTATTATGTATTACAGTATTCTGTCTGCGTGTATGCCTGCAGGCCAGAAGAAGGCATCAGACCTCATTATAGATGGTTGTGAGCCACCATGTGGTCTGCTGGGAATTGAACTCAGGACCTTTGGAAAAGCAGGCAATGCTCTTAACCGCTGAGCCATCTCTCCAGCCCCCTAACTTTCTATTTTTATGACAGGGGCTAGGTTTGTTTATTTAGAATAATCTCGGCTTGTTGTTTTAGAAACTAGTAATTTAGTGCTTCAGAGATGCATTGTACTTATCAGTTCCTCATCAAACATCCTTTCTATACATTATTCATGTGTAATTATCATAAAGTCTTTCATTAAATTTGCCAGGGATTGTAGAGTTTATTGTATTCTCAATTCAAGTTCCATGGAAAGGAAATGAAGTTATGTTAGGGAAGAATGAACTCTGCTTCATATCTGAGTCAACAAGGATAGCTTACTGTCTACTTGGATTTAGAACCTTAGACATTAATTTTAGTTAAGTAAGAACCAAAAATGGATTCAGAGTGAAGAGGATCGATTGTGAATTTTAGGCTGGATGTATGCAGCTAGCAATGGGGAATATTTTAACATATCTCTGTATTACTCTGAGCTCGGCTAATATCCTGTTTGACATCTTCCAGTCGTACCTGCACCTGCCAAGGCCTCAATCCAAAGACATGTGGCGCTTCTTTCTCTTTTGGCTGTTCGTGGAGCATGTTTTTGAACGGCTGTAAGTTTGGGAGAAGCCCAAACCCCAGGAAGTTCAGACTTGCTCCAAACTATCCATTAAACGTGAGTTTCCTTTTTAATTTTCTGGCTCCATCTACAGTATATAACCATGAATAGTCCCTAAAATTTTTTGAGAACAAAAATATATATATGTTCATTTTCTAAATGTGTCAGGTAAATTTATCTATTTAAATTGTCCATGGGTCTGTCTTCCTGCTATCCAACACCAGAGGGACCCTAGCCAGAGGAGAGCAAAACCATTTGCCAGCCTTTCAAAGACTAAAGAAAGCTTCCTGTTCACAGAGCTACTATAGGAGAATTACTGGATCACGACGTTTTAGCAGAAGAAGACGCATGAGACCCGTAAAACCCAGACAGATGTTTCCAGAACACAGGGCTCAGGTGAGTAGAGAATGTATTCATCTTCTTAAATTTAACATGAACTTGGATCCATTGCCATCACTAAATCGGTACATTACTATGAACAAAGTTCTTCACGTAATTAAATGTTTGACTCTCTGATACATCACAATGTTTATTAAACTGAGTGTGGGGGGGTGGGGTAAGGCATGAGGACTGCTACCAGCTAAGGCTTCATGCTGAGATCAAATGTTAAATGTCAAAACACTAGATTTCTGCTATTACACTGACTTGATAGAACAGTTTGAGCTGCTTCCAAGAAATCACGTTTGGTTTGGGTTTTATTTATTTATTTATTTATTTATTTATTTATTTATTTATTGGAGCAAGGTTTTAGAAACAGGGTTTCTCTGTAACAGCCCTGGCTGTACTGGAACTCAATTTTGTAGAACAGGCTGTAGTACATTATAGCCAGGTGTAGTGGCGATGTCACAGTATTAGTGGTTTCATTATAAGCAAGAAAAAAGCCAGGAACTGTCAGGCCAGTATAGCAGAGTACCCAGCCGCAGAAGAGAGTGGTGTGTGCATCAGCTATATAAGCTAAAGCCAAGGACTGGAGAAAGGTTTGAAAGAATAAAATCAACACACTTCGCCGGGCAGTGGTACACTTGGGAGGCAGAGGCTGGCGGATCTCTGAGTTCGAGGCCAGCCTGGTCTACAAGAGTTAGTTCCAGCCGGGCGGTGGTGGCGCACACCTTTAATCCCAGCACTTGGGAAGCAGAGGCAGGCGGATCTCTGTGAGTTCGAGACCAGCCTGGTCTACAAGAGCTAGTTCCAGGACAGGCTCCAAAACCACAGAGAAACCCTGTCTCGAAAAACCAGATGCTCCTTATTGATCATAGTTAGTGAAGAGTCTGCAAATGGACTTGCTAAGAACAGCGTTCCAGGGACCAAATGCTGTGCCGAGGCTGGTTGTAGATATTTGTTCGAAATAATGAAATCAGACAGTCCAAGTTGGGAATGTCTGACATCTCCCAAGTGAGTGATGTTATCTTGGAGTGCTGCTGCAGGTCCAGTGCTCCCAAACATCAGGGAGGCAAAGCCACGAGTAGGCGGGAACAATGCCTCATGGTTAAGGGCAGGTTTTGGCTCCCTTTCTTAACTTTACCCAAAACTATCATACGGATGATGAATTCTTCATTCTGTCCACAATATAAAAGGTACTACTATAAAATGGGGCTTTCTCGGTGTGGACTATTTCTCAATGGTACCTAATCTGTAGCATTTATAGTGTAAAGAGAACTCTCAGTGTAACTCCCCTCCCCTGCTGTGTATATATGGAAACCCATAGCCTTGGCAAGAGCAGTACAGGTTACCAATCTTCCCAAACTCTCTAGACTGCCAAGTGTTGAGCTTGCAGCCATGCTTACTTGAAAACATTTCTGTGTTTGTGTTTATTTCAAGAGTCCAGCTCTGTTTTTATTCTCTGCATCAAGGGCAGATTTGGAACATATCCTTCATTATATAGATTTCCATGTTATAACATCTAGTATTCTACTCACTGTATTATGGGAGGCCTCAACATGAAATGACTGAAGTTTTTTACACCTTTTCCTGTAGGAAAAGAAACTTGAAGAGCTTTTTCAGAAATTGGCTGACGATTTAGCTCCCATTTATAAGCAGATGGCTCCGGTGGCTTATCAAAATCAGGTGAGTTTTTTGTAGGCCTCATTAAGCGTACATGTAAAATTTCTAAGTAAATAGTTATTAATTGGATTATTTGTGGGGTGGGCAGCTACTTGCTTAGAAGTAGTGGTCTGCCATCCTTATTAGGCTCTCTGTATATGCCAAACATAAACAGAATTAAGTTGGTGGCTATCCTGATCTACACGGTACTTTATTTCAAAATGGTAGGGATAGAAAAGATGGCTTACTGTTTAAATTACCCGCTGCTCTGGGAGGGGTGCTCCACTCCAGAAGCCAGCCTGGTCTATCTACATAGAGTGCCATTCACAGATCCAGAGAGACCCTGTCTTAATCCTCACCACCCCACATAAGCACTCCCAAGATTCTACAGAGCACACACATACTGGGTGTGGTGAACCCTGAGTTTAAGGCTAGCCTGGTCTCACGAGTTCCAGGATACCCAGGGTTGGTTATAAAGAGAAACCCTGTCAAAAACAAAACAACAACAAAAAAAACAGAATATAGAGACAGACGCAGCTACCTTATAGTTCACGAAATGGATCGTAGACACTACATTCATTCATTGTTTCAGGGTAGGGGTCCATGCCTGTTGCCAGTTTGTAATTCAAATCCGCTGAGGATCTTCTCTGCCATCCCTTAATACCCTGTCTGGTTCTAGCACGCTTGTACACACACCTACACACAAGGTCATACGTAGGAGTTGACGGAAGAAAAAACATCTGGGATAGATCCAGTGGGTTAGAATAGAATACTGGCTGGTCTTTTGAAGACACAGGGCCAACCCCAGGTGCACAGATGTGATAGTCATGTGTAGACAAAACCACCCATAAGTCTATCTTTTTTTTTTTTAAGGTGAAATATGAAGATGTCGCCGGAGACTGTCGACTTGGCACTAAGAAAGGCCGTCCTTTCTCTGGTGTCACCTGTTGCTTGGATTTCTGTGCCCATTCTCACAGGGACATTCACAACATGATTAATGGCAGCACTGTGGTATGTACTTAAGTGCCTTTTAGTCTTTGTCCCCTTTGCTTTCCGCATCTAGACATGGTTTCTCTGTAGCCCTGAATTTCCTGGGTCTCAGTCTGTAGAGCCTACTGCCTCCTAAGTGCCTATATTTGTTGCTGGACATGGCTGCTCATGCTTTTAACCCCAGCAAACAAGAGGTTAAGGCACCTGGATCTCTGTGTTCTGTACTAGTGTGTCTATAGTGAGTTCCTGGACAGTTGAGGCTAGACCCTTTCTAGGAGCCAAAAGGGTCGAGGACACCAGGAGCACATTGTCCATAGGAGGGCTGACAGTGGCTCCCATTTCGGGTCCTCTCCATGTATACCTTATAATCTGTAGCTTGGTGTTCTCGTGGTTTCCCTACCCTGGGATTGACCTTTGGGACCCTCTTCCCTCCTGGGTTCCTGCATCCAGTCATGGGTTTATCTCCATGTTCAGTGGGAGAGAGGGACTGGGAGTGGATGGACAAGAACAGGGCTGGAATAGAGCTGGAGGGGTGGCACTGGCTGCTCTTCCAAAGGTCCTGAGTTCAATTCCCAGCAACCACATGGTGGTTCACAACCATCTGTAAAGAGGTCTAGTGCCCTCTGGCATGGAGATGTATATACAGGATAAACATTATATACATAATAAACCCTAAAATAAAAAGGAAACGTAAGTAGATTTGAATTACATTTATTATATTTTTATTTATTCAGTTTAGTATTTTGAGACAGGACTGGCCTGGAGCTCCGTAGATCAGGCTGGCCTAGAACTCCACCTTCCTCTGGCTCCTGAGTACTGGGATTACAGGCATGCTCTAGCACTGCCTGGCTAAATTATAATTTTTTGCCTTATGTGTAATAGTTTCGGATGTGTGTGTACGCATACCACCTGCATTCCTGGTGGCCATTGAAGTTCATTAAGGAACTGCAGTTATGAGTAGCTTCAAACTGCCATCTGAGTGTTGGGTCTTTTGTTTTTGATTTACAAATAAATGCTTTAAGAAATAATGATAGATCTAGCCTGGCAGTGATGGCGCATGCCTTTTATCCCAGCACACTCAGGAGGCAGAGGCAGGCAGACCTCTGTGAGTTTGAGGCCAGTCTGGTCTTCAAGAACTAGTTCCAGGACAGGCTCCAAAGCTACAGAGAAACCCTGTCTCGAAAAACAAAACATAACAAAAAAAAGCCCACCTCATACGCATGTCAACCCAGTTATCTTTTCCATCAGTCCTGCGATTGGTAGGGGTTGAGATTGTGCTGGGTATATCTGTGTTATATTTTCACATCATACAGCTCAAGGGCTTGGCTTGAGGCTTCTATTCCTGGGAAGAGACACCGTGACTATGGTTACTCGTGTTAATTGGCGTGGCTCACCACCATAATGGAGGGGAGGGGAGCATGGCGACATGCAGGCAGGCATGTGTAGGCCACAGGAAGCCTGACACTAAGCTCACCACCAGGGATACGCTTTCGCCAACGAGGCTATACTATCTCCAATAAAGCTACACTTCCCAATAGTGCCACTCCTTAATGCGATTACATGAAAATACTCCAGGGCTCTCGAAATGCCTCGGCAGTACCTGTTGGCAAGGTTCAGTTCCCCGCAAGCTCCAGGGTTAGACTGAACATGACCTGATGGATGGAGGCAAATCCCTCCAATAAAGCTGGATGCCTTGCTTCATAGTAAGTAGGAAGCTTAACTGGGCTTCAAAAGGAATGTTTCTAAAGAGAAGGGAAGTAAGAAGATATCTATTTGTTTTACTTTGTAATCATTTATTTACGATTAATAAAAAGACACTAGAATTGCGTATTTTACTGGCTTGATGTTTAGTTGGGATTACTATGCCAACTGCTACCAATTGAAACAAAACTGCACTGCAGATGGCTTTGTTCTTTGTTATCTGATCACTGAGTCATAGAAATATGGACTTATTTATAACAGTGTTCTGCCTCCGTGTATTCCTACATGGCAGAAGACGGTACCAGATCTCATTATAGATGTTTATGTGGTTGCTGAGAATTGAACTCAGGACCTCTGGAAGAGTTGCCACGGCTCTTAACCTCTGCGCCATTTCTCCAGTGCTATTTTCATGGCAGAGAGCTACCTGCATCCAGATCAAAGACTTTTATTACAGATCCTCACCTTAATCCGTTCACATGGCTCCATCCTTGTTGATTAAGCATTCAAATATGAGCCTAAGGGGTTTCTTATTCAAACCATCACGCATCTGTGAAGCCAGTCATAGAATGATCACAGGCTTCCTCCCCCCTCCCTGTGCCTCAGGTTTGTACTTTGCTTCGTAAAGATGTCCGCGACAAGAATAATCCCGAGGACGAACAGCTCCACGTCCTCCCATTACACCGACTTGCCGACACCGATGAATTTGGCTCCCAAGAGGGAATGGAAGAAAAGATCCGCTCTGGGGCCATTGAGATCGTTCAGCCATCAAGGAAGAAGCAACTACGTTTCAATGAGCCTATTCCTCGGTGTGGGAAGAGGAGGACCACTATGGTGGACCAGAACAAGAAACCAGCTCCCACTGCACTGAAAAGGAAGAGGAGCTCCTCCAGTAAGTGTGACACACACACACACACCGCTGCCCCCAGGAGCCAGACTGGTGTTTCCCCCCCAGAAAGGCTTGATCTCAGAGAGGGTTTTCCCTCTTATTTTTTAATTTCCCAATTACTCTCACTTGATGCTAGTGTTCTTTCTCCTCCTCTTGCTCCTTTTTGATCCCAGATTTCTCCCATTTATCCCCCCTGCCTGCAAGCCCCACCTAGCCTTTCTCTCTACCCAGCTGCTGGACATTTAGCTATTTATTTATTAGACAATGTAGACAGGCAAAGAATCAAAGAAAAGCAACATACATAAGCAAATTATAACACATCTCAAAATCACCACACAACAGAAAGGACTCTATTTTGCTCTTCATCCTCACTGAGTCCTCATTCACATTATTTATTTTTTTAAAATAAATACTATATATATTATATATAAATTATATATACAATATTCTGCCTGCATGTATCCCTGTGGGCCAAAGAGGGCATCAGATCTCATAACAGATGGTTATGAGCCACCACGTGGTTCCTGGGAATTGAACTCAGGACCTCTGGAAGAGCAACCCGTGGCTCTTATCCTCTGAGCCATCTCACCAGCGCCCATTCACATTATTTATACATTTGCCTTTCCTTGTTTTTAATCAGCTGTTATATCCAAGGACCACTGCCAGTTTTTAGTTAATAATAACATTGTAGTAATGCTATCTTGATTTTTGGTTTTCAAAGCAGGGTTTCTTCATGTAGCTCTGGTTGTCCTGTATACCAGGCAGGCTTTAAATCTGCAGAGATCTGCCTGCCTCTGGGATTAATGGCAGTCAACAACACCCACTACCCGGTTGTTTTTGTTTATTTTTTAGTTTTTCGAGACAGTGTTTTTCAGACCAGATGAGTGTCCTGGGAAGTTAGTGCTGGTGTGTGCCACTATTGCCCGACTCTTGAGGCTCATAGTGCATAATATCTCTGCTCCCGAGTGCTTGGCATAAAGGTGTGCGCCACCACCTCCCGGCTGCATGCTGATTTCATGCTTCATGGATTTCTTGGTGTCAGTGTTTGAGGTGACGTTGGCTCTGCCAGGCCTTGCCCCTTTCTCCCATTCTGCCTTGCTAATCAGCCCCCTTTGGCTCACGGAATTAACATGTTCATGCTAACATGGTGGTTCCCCCTTTACCCTCAAAGCCTGTCTTGCCTATGTGCCATGTCTGTCTCCTATCCAGAGGACATCCTCTGAGACAAATACCCTTTCCCCCTCTGCCTTGTCCCCTTTCCCATATCTCCTTTATCCCACCTCCTAGCCTGTTCTAACAGACTTGCCCTTTCTGCAATGTCCTGAGTCAGAAAGCAAGTCCCAGAGTAAGCCCCAACTGTTCAGGAAGTCCTTCAGTGTTGTTTGCCTAATTCAGTATTTTTTCTTAACCAGATCTTGGTCCATTTCCAAGACTGGAAATCCTTCTCATCATTATCATTGATTTGATAATTCTGGAACTGGGTCTGGGCGTGTTGCTACAAATACATGTACAAGATTTCTTCTTTGCTTTCCACTTTTTTCCCCATCTATAGCTATGCCTGTCCTAGAACTAGCTCTTGTGGACCTGCCTCTGCCTCCCAATTGCTGGGATTAAAGGCGGCGCCACCAGCGCGCAGCTTTCCACTTTATTTGTAAAGTTTCGAGCTGAGTCTGAAATCTTAGCTCGTATATCAGTAGGATATTCAGAGTTTTTAATTTTCAAATGAATATGAAAGACAGGCAAAATGACACACAAGTTCATAGACTATTGAGACAGGAGCACTCCATACATATTCTGAAGATATAGACTAGACCATATTCTAAAGATGAGATGTAAAAAAAAAATATCCTTTTTTACATGTGCAATTTACCTGCACGACATGCATACCTGAGATCAGAAGAGAGTGCTTGCCGACTCAGGAGTTAACAGCAGGAGGCAGAGAAACCACTAAGAAAACGCAAGCAACCGGCAAGTGACAGATAACTTAGAGGTTTAGCAGTGCAAAGAGAGTCAAATTGAAACCAAGCCCCATTTTATTTTCAAAGGTTCAGACAACACTAAAAGCTTCTCATCAGCCTCATCTACTCATCACCCGGTGAATGAAGAAGCAGGTACCTGTACGTACAATAACACAGCCTCAGGCGGGTTTCCAGAAACAAGTAGCGGTGTCCCCTGTACAATGCCCTCTGGTGCTAATGTAGCTGCTGGTGCTGGAACTGAACAGCCTGGTGAAGCGGCTGCTCTTCCTCAGCCCTCTCTCCCCATAGCAGACACCCCTCTCTCTAGCCCATCCGAGCAGCTACCATTCCTCAACTGTGCTCATGAACCGGATTCCTGTCAGGTGGAAGACGGGCAGCACTCTGAAGCAGAGGAGCCTCTCTCAGATGGTGCCCTCTCAGATGACCAATCCTCCGAGGACGACGAACCTGAGATTCAGGAGTATTGGTCAGACAATGAGTTGATCTTCCTTAACCCTAGCTATGGCGGAGTGGCCATAGCACCCATTCATGGTTCAGTGATGATCGAATGTGCCCGGAGAGAGCTTCATGCCACCACCCCTGTGGAAAATGCCAACCGAAATGACCCCCTACGGATGTCCCTGGTATTCTACCAGCACAAAGGCCTGATTCTCCCCAGTCATGGTTTTTATTTCAACAGGATTAAGTTTGAGTCTAAAATTTTTAAGAAAAAGGCTGCAGAACGGAAGGGTCCTGATAAATCATCATTTGTAGCCAATTTACTGTGCAATATTCCTTCTCGTATTGCACCAACCTTAACCCGTGACAATGTTGTCACTGTGTCCCCTTACGCTCTCACTCATGTTGCAGGACCCTACAACCATTGGATCTGAAGGCTTTTTTCCCATAATGCCTTTGCTAGTGCAGTGTAGTTCCTACGGTGCTGTTCAAAAGAAAGTCACGTTGTTGTTTACTTACTTACTGTATCTTCATTTCACCCATTTCAACTCCTAGGTCAAATTTATGAAGTGGGTGGGTACTTAACTGTGACTATTTTGATTGAGAATTGGTGGAAGGTATACATTCTCAGCAAAGATACTGGTCTTATATCTTGGTTAGGCGTTGACCATGACAGAATCATAGTTTGGTGCTCAAATTAAGTTTCTTTACTACAAAGAGGATTTTAACAGGTTCCTACAATAAGATGTAAAAACCAAGACACACAGTGTTCGCTCTATAGTTCCTGGTGCTTAACCACATAACATGTAGTAATGAGCCGAATGATTGTTTCATGGTGCCATCCTTCCAGCATCTTCCGATCATTGCTATATGTCTGCACATTTGAAATAAACCAATGAAATGCTTTCTCTTACAATATCTCTCCTGTATAAAATAGTTCTTTATTCTAGTGATGATTGGAGGCTATTCGTTAACTGTAAATATATATATTTTTAAAAGCACTTTCTATTTTTAAAGTAACTTGAAATAGCATAGTAGCAGAATCCTATTGTCTATTATGTATGCATATTTGCATAGCAGAAAAGTCATTTACTGTGTAGAGTTTCATCCTGTTAACTGCAGCCTGTATTTAAATCTGTTCTACTCAATCCAAAAAAACTGAAAATACAAATTGCCACCAATATCATTTTCCCCCTTTTAACTAGAAAAGTATTGTCTTTAGTGTCCTCATGATTGATGTTTTCATCATGACACATGTTTTCAATGGTAGAAGGAGACAGATTGGGATCAATCAAATCCTCCCAGTGTTTCCACATGAGAATAGTTAAGTAACTTTTCCCTCCCAAATGAGAAAATATCCTTTAGGAATAATTGAGGGGGGAAAAGCTATTACCACTATTGCTTCTGGCCCAGAGTCACATAAAAAAATTATGCTGTAAGCCAATTAAGAGCCTATTCATTAATCTTAACCTTTTGGGTTTAGGTTATTGACAATTTAATTGGCAATTCAAACTTCTTTGGTAATCCCCATTTTGAAGGTCACAGGTAAAGCTGGCATTCTGATTACTTTTGTTTTCCAAGGTTCCTCCCATATATATACCAAGAAAGACACCCTAAACAAAACCTAGAACCAAAAGAAATTCAAATGCACAGGTGCTATGACATTCAAAGAATTGGATTTTCCAGAAGTCCAGGAACCCTAATGGTGCTTCTCAGATGCCATACGAAGTCCACAACTATCATCATAATCTCGGTGCAAATGCAAACAGTTCCAGCAAAGCTCTCTAGAGAATCACTTATTAAAATAATATATGGTGTGAAGTTTCTGACTAAGGGAATTGAAGAGGTCGGGATTGTAAATAAAGTGTCCATCAGCATTCCATCTGCAAATAGATGTGTGACTACATTCAGTAGGGTATATACAGTGTATCCAGTAGGGTAATTTGTTGACCTGATTGTTTTGTGTGCCTTAGATTTCTGTTTCAGAACAAGTCTGTTTTCAAAGCCTAGGGTTTCTTACACGTGTTTGTATGTAACTGATTCTTTGCTGCTTCAGGTGTGTCAGTATTTGTTAGTGTGTGCTATCAGGAAAGCTCCCTTTGAAGTTACCTTTGAGGTTTTAGGCCTTAGCTCCCACTAGAAATTGTTTCCTTGCCATGCCGTGCATTTATTCATCCATTCATCCTCAAATGCACATTTAATTTAATCTTTACATTTAATTGATCCATTTGATTTTGGTTTTCCTTGAATCACCACCTAGGACACAATCTAAAAGGCAGTGGTGGTGCACGCCTTTAATCCCAGCAGAGGCTGGTGGCTCTCAGTGAGTTCTGGACAGCCAGAATGAAAAATCTAAACAAAACAGTAATGATTTCCAACTTGAACCTGCTCTGTAAACCACACTGCCCTGGGACTGTTGAGTGCTGGCAATTAAAGGTGTATGCCACCATGCCTGGCTCAACATGGTCTTATGAAAAAGCAAAGGAAATTTCTTTGAGATGACCTAACACTCTTCCTGAGAAGACTGGTCTCATTGTTACATGACCTCCATGGCAACTCAGCTGATGCTCTGAGGACTTTCCTGGTGGACCAGGCTAGCCTACAATTCACAGAAATCTGCCTGCCTCTGCTGAGATTAAAGCTGTACTCCACCCCTCCACAAGCTGTTTTTCCTTCTTGTGCTTGGCAGCCTCATATCTACCATATATATGTACCTGGTACCAAATGAACCACGCATTAGCTTCATGGACATATATTGTTGGGACATGAGGCTACAGAGGTAAACTTTTGCAGTGTGGTAGCAGAACTGCAGGCCAGTCACCAATCACTTAGCTGAATGATATCCTCGAGTAGCTGACTTGATTAACAGGAAGTCAACTACTTTCTAGTACTTTTACTCCTAATCAACATTCCACAATAGTATGTACAAACTAACATGTTGAGAGACTTCTATGTGGGGTAAAGCTGTGACATCACTGACGTCTTCCATCAATCGTGGGCACATTTAGCTGGAATGTGCCAACTGAGGAGGTGGATGCAGTCTTTAACAAAGTTGCCTTTCGTTACACCACTCAGTGTATAGTGATGTCGTGATTTCACTGCAGTAGAAGTCACAAAGCTCCCCTGCGCCCACAGAACAGGTGGTACCTATCAGCGTGGAATTGCGTGAAGACCACTCTGTTCTTAGAACTATACAAGTTCTCTCACCCCGGGAGTACAGTCTCACGGAGAACTATCCTTATTTTTGCACAAGTCAAAAATAAAACAGCTTTCTGTCCTCCAGGGAGGTTCAGAAAAAGAAAAGTAATGGTAAAATTAGGTCAAGATTCCCTTGACTATGAGTGAAAACTAGCCTATTAACTCTTACCTATAAACAAGGCAGTCCTTGTCTTTGCCATTCTCTCTGGAACCTAGTGTTCAGAGTACTTGAGGACTGAGTGGAAATACGCGGAGGAAAGCGTATTTTCCGTGTATATACTCCCTGGTTGCTCAATTCCTTCCTGCCCCTGCCTAGTTAAATGCCAGCAGTTACTTGTGAAGTGGCCATCTTTATAAGTGGGGATGCTGGCTTATTGTGCATAGCACTCCCAAGCTTGCTGTGCTTTGTTTTTCTCCAATGTGGCATATTTAGCCCTGTGGTTGTTTGCTTGGTTGTTTAAGACCTCTAGATTTTTCCAAGTGAAGCAGGTGTTCTCATAGCATGAGAAAATATATAATGCCAATCCTGTTATCAGGAAGGCCATTCAGACAGTGAGTCCTACACACCCTGATTCCATGTGAAAATTCCTGAGCATGCTTTTCTTTTACCTGTGTACTAGAAACGGGCTTCTGTATTGAGTTGTGGAGCTGGACATTTAGAGTCTTGTGGGTCTTGTGTAGTCAGTCCTGAACTATGGTTGAGAATGTTGAATTTCTTCTTTTGAAACTGGGTTGCACTATGCAGCCCTGGCTTGCCTGGAGCTTGGGGAGACATAGACCAAACTGGCCTTTTATGACAGAGGTTCTGGCGTGTGCTCAGAAAGCATTCTTCTCCACCTTCCCACCCTAGACTTTGTTTTTTTGTTTCTTGTAGTGCTTTTTCTGAAATTCCTACTTTAGATTTCTTTCTTACTTGTTAGGGTATAGACACAGGGCACCCTGCCCAGATAACCTTTTATTGGCCCCAGATAACCAAAAGGCTCAGAATATGTTCTTCACAATATCAGTTTAACCCTTAGGCCCCATTGTGTTCAAAATTATATTGTGGCTGTATGAAAAGCCCCTACAGGATTAATTTTCCTTATTCCTTCTGCACCTTCTGATTTCCTTGTGATTAAAAATCTGCTCTTGTGTATCCTGGCTCCATCTCCTCAGAGCATTCCTTATGCAAATGCATCTGGTTCATTTAAGATGCCATTGTTTGGATTCCTCACTCCTGCCTTCCTTTTTGAGACACCATCTCCTATAGCCCAGGCTGCCACAAAGTCCAATCCCCAATTTGGCTCAATCTGTAATCCCAACTGCTTGAGGGGCTGAGGCAGACAGAGCTCAGTGACACAGCGCTTCCTGACCATGCTGGAATGGGCACCATTCCCCAAGACTGCAGGAAGAATCAAGAGTGCAGCACTTTGCAGTTAGGAGTAAACAATTTAAACCATACTCATTCTCTTGTATGGCTTTTTCAACCCCATCTGCTATGTTACAAATCAGCCAGGCCTTTTTAGTCAATCTTTCTAGTTTCCTAAGCTAGATTTACTCCTGAAATTCTTCAACTGCGATAGGGTAATGCTAACCCCGGTATATATATTCAAACCCCCAGCTCAGACTTTACAGCCCCAAGGCACTACACATGATCTAGGTTCCAGAATAAGCTCTGGTGCTTTTCTTTTTAGCATGCCTAGCTTGAAACCAAGAAGTACCTGTAGCACTTCTTATCTGTGCTCTTCGAGTAGACAACAAAATCTAGGTGATTGATATTTTGAAAACAAATCGGATATTAACAAAATAAGCATTTCTCCCTTGGTATGGTCCACACACCTGTAACACCAGCTCATGGGGAGACTTTAGTAGGATTTGGTAGATTTTAGTATGATTTAATAGTAGGATTTTAGATTTAAGACCAGCCTCAACTATATGAGATCCTGTCTTAACAAACTTTTGATCCCCAATATTGATACCAAACACAGCTCTCTGTGGCAAGAATGGCTAGTACCTTACTCCATGCCACCGAGCAAGTCTAGGAATATAAATCATGTGATTATGGGTGCTTTGCTTCTGTGGGTGCCATATTGCAGTGCCCATAGAAGCCAGTGTGGTCCCCTGGAACTGGAGTTCAGCTGTTGTGAGCTGCCATCAAGGTGCTGTAAATCTAACCAAGATCCTCTGGAAAAGTAACAAGTGCTCTTAACCAGTGAGCCACCCACAAATTCAGAGTGCTACATGTAAATATACAGGAAAAACTGAATTAGGATTTTACTGAATAGAGCTAATAGAAAAATATATAAA